TGTCCCGAGAACGCTGCTGCTGCTGCAGGCGCTGACCACCACCAGAGCCGCTCCGCTGCAGGGCACCACCCCGACCAGCTCCACCCCCTCCGCCACCACCGCCTCCACCTCCGCCACCACCGCCGCCTCCGCCTCCGCCACCACCGCCTCCGCCTCCGCCTCCGCCTCCGCCGCTGCCACCACCACCGCCACCCCCGCCACCACTCCCAACGCCACCCCCACTCCCTCCGCCCGCTCCATTGCCACCTCCATTGCCCCCGCCAGCTCCACCCGCGCCCTTGCCCCCCTTGCCCTTGCTAGGGCGGCGTCTTTCGCTAGGGGCAGACGCCGCGCCGACCGACTCAAGGCCAAGCAGGTCGGCGGCAGGAGCAGAGGCAACAGAGGGCAGCAGGGGGGAAGGAGAACACCCCTCAAAGATGGGGGTGCGAGGGTCACCACGAGAAGCTCCTACAGCGACGATGCTCTTCTCCGCTGCCAGGAGGGCCCTCTCGAGGAGGTCTACAGTGAGAGTGGTGGGACAGACTGAGAGGAATTGGTCCCTGACTACGCGAAGGGAGTCAGGGAGGCGGGTGAGTATGTAATAGAGAGTGATGTACATCGGGGGGGGGGGGTTCTTGGCGCAGAACTCAGCAGGAAGCGCAGCGCGGTAGCGGGTGTCACTAGTGCGGAGGTGCGTGATGAGGTCAGCGACGGTGGGAAAGGCAGCAAGGTCAGGAAAGAGGTACGGTAGCATGAGGCGGCTCAGTGCAGCAGTGGCAAGGGAAGAGTAGCGCGCAACTACAGCGTCGTACAAGGTCTGAGCACTCTTGTACTGACTAAAGTGCGCGCGCTCAGTGGTAGGGAAGTGGCGACGCACAGCAAGACGTGCAGCAGCATCGCGGGTGGCCCACTGAGAGCGAACAGTGGGGTCAGCGTCAGTAGCAGGGGCAGGAGAGGCGCCAGAGGTGAGGTCAAAGAGAGAAAGACCGTCCGCCCTATCGCACTGTAAAAACAGCTGCAGGTTGTCGACCCAGACCTCAAAGTCAATGGCTCGACCCTCAGCGTCAAAAGCGAGGACACTAGGGGTAGCCATGACGACAGACTAGCAGTGCAAGCAGTGGGGGAAAGGGCACGCAGTAGCAGTGGGGCTGTGCTCACCAGACAGGGCAGGTCGGGCAGCTCGGCAGTAGGGCGGCTCGGTTGCGGGGCGGCTGGGCGGCTGGGCGGCTCGGCGGCTAAGCGGCAGGCTGCTGGGTAGCTCGGCAATACTGCGGCTTGGCGGCTCGGCTCCTCCGGTACTCTGCGGCGCGGCGGTCAGCTGCTCGGGTGCACGCTGCAGGGTGGTGCAGTGGGAGGCGGCTCGGGCGGCGCGGCAGGAGAGGAGAGCGGCAGGGCCGCTAAGGGAGGCGGCGGGGCCGCTCAAGCAGGGCGGCGGGGCCGCTAAGGAAGGGCGGCGGGGCCGCGAGGTGCAGGGCGGCGGAGCCGCGAGGTGCAGGGCGGCGGGGCCGCGAGGTGCAGGGCGGTGGGGCCGCGAGGTGCAGGGCGGCGGGGCCGTTGAAGCAGGGCGGCGGGGCCGCTTAGTAGAGGGCGGCGGGGCCGCGTAGGAGAGGGCGGCGGGGCCGCGTTAGCAGGGCGGCGGGGCCGTGAAGGAAGGGCGGCGGGGCCGCGAAGTGCAGGGCGGCGGGGCCTCTTAGCAGAGGGCGGCGGGGCCGCGTGAGCAGGGCGGCGGGGCTGCGAAGGAAGGGCGGCGGGGCCGCTAAGGAAGGGCGGCGGGGCCGCGATAGCAGGGCGGCGGGGCCGCTAAGGAAGGGCGGCGGGGCCGCGAAGGAAGGGCGGCGGGGCCGCTAAGGAAGGGCGGTGGGGCCGCGATAGCAGGGCGGCAGGGCCGCTGAAGTCGAGCGGCGGGGCCGCGAAGTGCAGGGCGGCGGGGCCGCTGTAGTAGGGCGGCGGGGCCGCTTAGCAGAGGGCGGCGGGGCCGCTTAGCAGGTGGCGGCGGGGCCGCGTGAGCAGGGCGGCGGGGCCGCGAAGGAAGGGCGGCGGGGCCGTTAAGGAAGGGCGGCGGGGCCGCGATAGCAGGGCGGCGGGGCCGCGAAGCGTAGGGGAGAGAAGGCCGCTAGGGCGGCTCGGTGAGTGAATAGCCCAAGGTGCGACTCGGGATGAGTGCGCTTCGGGCAGTAAAACAAAATCGAAGTGGTGGGCCCTAGGCGCAGCTCCCACAGGGGAACCTGCTCGATACCATGAGAAGAATTGAACGAGAATGAATCAACTATGAATGAAGTGAGTACATATAGGAAACCCTAATTGGGTTGTACCCCCTATGGGATACCCCACTATAGCCTACACAACAACATAAGCTATAATGTTCTGACAGTCCTCACTCCCGAACAACGCATCACCGCATTTGCTGTGGACAGGGAAACAGGGCAGTACAAAAATGTTACGAGTTTTCGGGTGCATGGTACAGTACCGACCCCCAGAGGCACGAGCGGGAAGATTTTCACAACGCGCACAGTGGGGACTACACCTCGGCATCGAAAAGAATTACAACGCATGGAAAATCTTCGACGTCCACTCCAAGGAAACAATAGCAGCACGTGATGTGATCTTCTACGAAAGACTCACGCTTCAGACGTACCTCGCCAACTTGCACGAAAATCAGGACCCCACAGGTGGCTTTCGTGGTGACCGAGCCTTCGCCTCAGCAGCGGACGAAGCAGACTGGGACGAGCAGAACGTCGACAACACATCAGAAGAAGCCGGACCTCTCCCGTTCTGCTCCGTCAACGTCCCCATGGACGAAGAAAATCCTCGCAAAAGCGCCAACGCCGAAGTCTTCTACCACTTTGCCAACAATGGTTACGTAACATCTGCGACAGTCAACACCAACGAAGCAGAAAGAATAGCACTGAATTTCATACCCGACCCAGAAGCGGGAGATGAAGCAGCTTATCCCGAGGACACAACACTCCCCCGTTACTCAGAGACTGGACTGCAGATTCTCGGCCTCGTCACCGCAGTCCACGGTCCTCCTCTTCCTAAAGAGCCTGCGTCTGTTCAGCAAACTCTGGGGGGGGAACACAGGGAGAAATGGCGTGAAGCCATGGACAGAGAGTTAAAGGCTTTGGAGGAACGGAACACCTGGAAGGTTGTTCCAGTTAGCGCGGCAAGGAACAAGACCATCCTCACCGGGAAACGGGTCTTCCGCATCAAAACGAAGGCAGACGGCACAATCGAGAAGTTCAAAGCACGCTGGGTCGTGCGAGGATTCGATCAGGAACACGGACGGGACTTCACCGAGACATTCGCCCCAGTTAGCCGACACACCTCACTCCGAATCCTCCTCGCTATCGCCGCCATGAAGAAAAGAAAACTACGGCAAATCGACGTCGCTAACGCCTTCCTCTACGCACCCGTCGACGCCGAAATCTTCGTTGAGCTCCCACATGGTACCCACGCGGAACCTAATCAGGTTTGCCAGCTACTGAAATCGCTCTACGGAATCAAACAGGCCCCACGGCTGTGGCAACAGCACCTACACACCCGCCTCACTCGCATCGGATTCCGTCAACTACCTCACCACCAAGGCATGTACCGACTCACCAAAGACGCCAACTACATTCTGCTTATCGTCTACGTCGACGATTTACTCTACATCAGTTCTACCGACGACATAACTACCTGGTTCGAAGGGGAGCTGAAGAAGGACCTCACACTCACGGTCTCCATTACCGTCACTCAGTATCTCGGACTCAACATCCGCGAAGAAGAAAACGCGATCTACCTCAGCGCCGAAAAAGTATGCCAACACCATCGCCAAACGCTTCGCGCTCACATCTGCTACTATCTCCACGCCATACCGCTACACGGCAGGGAACGGCAAGGGAAGCTCCTGTCAAGTTATAATATTGTGTAGGCTATAGTGGGGTAGCATATATGGGGTACACATTTCTAGGGTTGCATATTTGTATCACTTCATTCCTTAGTCAATCCATTCTCGTTCTCTTCTTCACATGGAATCAGAGCAGGTCCCCTCCTAGGGACTGTTCCTAGGGCCCACCGAAGCGCGCCTCGAGTCGCGCTCTCCCTTTTTTTTTAGCGACCCACCGTGTCGCCCCTAGCGGCCCGTCGCGCCGCCCGTCCGGTCGCGTCGAGCCGCTCTAGCGGCCCCGCCGCGTACCTTCACGGCCCCGCCGCCTACCTTCGCGGCCCCGCCGCCTACCTTTGCGGCCCCGCCGCCCACCTTCGCGGCCCTAAGCCCCACTTCGCGGCCCCGCCACCTACCTTCGCGGCTCCGCCGCCCCACTTCGCGGCCCCGCCACCTACGGTCGCGGCCCCGCCACCTACCTTCGTGGCCCCGCCGCCCTACCTTAACGGCCCCGCCGCCTACCTTCGCAGCCCCGCCGCCTACCTTCGCGGCCCCGCCGCCTACCTTCGCGGCCCCGCCGCCTACCTTCGCGGCCCCGCCGCCTATCTTCGCGGCCCCGCCGCCCTACCTTCGCGGCCCCGCCGCCTCACCTCACGGCCCCGCCGCCCTACCTTAGCGGCCCCGCCGCCCTACCTTCGCGGCCCCGCCGCCTCACCTCACGGCCCCGCCGCCCTACCTTCGCGGCCCCGCCGCCCTACCTTCGCGGCCCCGCCGCCTCACCTCACGGCCCCGCCGCCCTACCTTACCGGCCCCACCGTCCTACACCTGCGGCCTTGCCGCCCTACACCGCCGGCCCCGCCGCCCTACTTCGCGGGCCCCGCCGCCCAACTACTGCTGCGGCCTTGCGCACCCAAGCAGCCGACCGCCGCGCCGCCGAGTACCGGAGGAGCCGAGCCGCCCCACCGTCGCTATGCAGCCGAGCCGCCCAGCCGCCGAGCAGCCGAGCCGCCGAGCAGCCGAGCCGCCCAGCAGCCGAGCCGCCCAATCGCCGAGCCGCCCTGTTGCCGAGCCGCCCGACCTGCCCTGTTCGGTGAGCACAGCCCCGCTGTCACTGCCTGCCCTTCCCTACTGCTTGCACTGCTAGTCTCTCGTCGTCATGGCTACCCCTAGTGTCCTCGCTTTTGACGCTGAGGGTCGAGCCATTGACTTTGAGGTCTGGGTCGACGACCTGCAGCTGTTTTTACAGTGCGATAGGGCGGACGGTCTTTCTCTCTTTGACCTCACCTCTGGCGCCTCTCCTGCCCCTGCTGCTGATACTGACCCCACTGTTCGCTCTCAGTGGGCTACCCGCGATGCTGCTGCACGTCTTGCTGTGCGTCGCCACCTTCCTACCACTGAGCGCGCGCACTTTAGTCAGTACAAGAGTGCTCAGACCTTGTACAACGCTGTAGTTGCGCGCTACTCTTCCCCTACCACTGCTGCACTGAGCCACCTCATGCTACCGTACCTCTTTCCTAACCTTACTGCCTTTCCCACAGTCGCTGACCTCATCACGCACCTCTGCACTAGTGACACCCGCTACCGCGCCGCGCTTCGTGCTGAGTTCTGCGCCAAGAACCCCCCCCCCATGTACATCACTCTCTATTACCTCATCACACGCCTCCCTGACTCCCTTCGCGTAGTCTAGGACCACTTCCTCTCAGTCTGTCCCACCACTCTCACTGTTGACCTACTCGAGAAGGCCCTCCTGGCGGCGGAGAAGAGCATCGTCGCTGTAGGAGCCTCTCGTGGTGACCCTCGCACCCCCATCTTTGAGGGGTGTTCTCCTTCCCCCCTGCTGCCCTCTGTTGCCTCTGCTGCTACTGCCGACCTGCTTGGTCTTGAGTCGGTCGGCGCGGCGTCTGCCCCCAGCGGGAGACGCCGCCCTGGCAAGGGCAAGGGGGGCAAGAGCGCGGGTGGAGCTGGCGGGGGCGGTGGAGGTGGCGGTGGAGGCGGCGGAGGGAGTGGGGGTGGGGGTGGGAGTAGTGGCGGGGGTGGTGGTGGTGGTGGCAGCAGCGGAGGCGGAGGCGGTGGCGGCGGCGGTGGTGGCGGAGGCGGAGGCGGCGGTGGTGGCGGAGGTGGAGGCGGCGGTGGCGGAGGGGGTGGAGCTGGTCGGGGTGGTGCCCCGCAGCGGAGCGGCTCTGGTGGTGGTCAGCGCCAGCAGTAGCAGCAGCAGCAGCGGTCTCGGGACATCCCCCCGCCTCAGCAGCTCCGTGAGTGGTACACGCAGCGTCAGCGTGGTGGGGGTTTTGGTCCGTGCACCTACGTCCTCCGTTCCAACGACCGCGCGGGTGAGCAGTGTGGGGGTGCCCACATCACCCAGCGCTACTTTGGCCGCCTGACGGACGCTTGGCATCAGCAGTTCCCCGAGGCTAGTGAGATTCCCCGCTGGGGAGAGCTGTCTAGGGCTGGTGTAGCTATCTTTGATCTTGACTTTGATGCTATCCTTGCTGCCATGTATGCTGTGACTATTAGTGATGAGGGTGACTGTTACTGGTGTTTCTCGCCCGACCCGGGCATTGGTACTCCTGCGCTAGGTGCTTGTGAGGCTGCTGCTCTAGGTGCCAGTGCGTCTGCGCTCTCAAGTACTGGTAAGGCTGCGCTCTCAGGCACTGCGTCGACTTCGGCCTCCCTCACCTTCACACTTGACTCAGGTGCTTCTCGCTCCTTCTTTCGAGACCGCACCACACTCACGCCGCTTGGTCGGCCGGTTGCAGTCTCCCTGGCTGACCCCTCTGGGGGTCCTGTCCTCTCTCACTTCTCCACTGTCCTCCCGTGTCCGGCTGCCCCCTCGGGCACCCTGTCTGGTCTGTACCTCCCCTCGTTCTCGACGAACTTGGTGAGTGGTGCTGACCTGCAAGATGCGGGGGTGCACCAGTTTACTCCTGCGAGTCAGCGGGTGACCCACTGCTCGGACGCCCGCACAGGCCGACGCCTTGGCCACGTTTTCGCGTCGGCCGGGGTCGAGTCTCTACACCCTGACCACTGAGTCTCCTCCTGTCCTTGCGTCTGGCCAGGTAGCTGCGTCGGGTCAAGTGTTTGCTGCTGCGTCCAGGTCTGGTCCTGAGTCTGCCCCCTGCTCGTATCGCCTCCTGTCTCACAAGACTCTCTTGTGGCACCACCGTCTTGGCCACCCCTCCTTGCCACGTCTTCGGAGCATGGCTTCCCGTGTCCTTGTCTCTGGTCTTCCCCAGCCCCTCCCTCCCCTTCCTTCGGGGCCTGGTCCTTCCTATGTCCCCTGTGTTGAGGGGCGCCTCCGGGCTGCCACTCACTCCTCTCAGTTTCCCCCGACAGAGGCTTCGTTGCAGACGCTTCACATGGACGTGTGGGGCTCGGACCGCGTCCGTGGACAGGGTCATGAGCGCTACTTCCTGCTAATGGTTGACGACTACTCGCGTTACACCACATTCTTCCCCTTGCGCAGCAAGGGTGATGTCACTGAGGTGTTGATCGACTAGATCCGCGCAGCTCGTCTCCAGCTCAGGACGAGCTTCGGCTCGGACTTTCCTGTTCTGCGTCTGCACTCTGACCGAGGCGGAGAGTTCTCCTCTGGCCTTCTGCGAGCCTACTGCCGTGCGCGAGGCATCCGCCAGACCTTTACGCTTCCGGACTCTCCACAGCAAAATGGGATTGCTGAGCGCCGCATTGGCATGGTCATGGACGTCGCTCGTACGTCCATGATGCATGCGGCTGCCCCCCATTTTCTGTGGCCGTTTGCGGTTCGGTACGCGGCGCATCAGATCAACCTTCACCCCCGGGTCTCCAGGCCGGAGACCTCCCCAGCCTTGCTGTGCACGGGGAAGGTCGGCGATGTGTCTGCGTTCCGTGTCTGGGGATCTCGGGCGTTTGTCCGCGACTTGTCTGCGGACAAGCTGTTCCCCCGTGCTGCTCCCTGTGTCTTCCTTGGCTTCCCCCCTGACGCACCAGGGTGGCAGTTCTACCACCCCTCCTCTCGTCGTGTTCTGTCCTCCTAGGACGTCACGTTCGACAAGTCAGTCCCCTTCTACCGCCTCTTCCCCTACCGCACTCCTTCCCTTCCCCCGCCACCGCACTTCCTCGTGCCAGGTCCCCCCCCGGTAGACCCCCTCCCCCCTCGGGGTCCAGCCCCTTCAGGTGTGTCCCAGGTAGACGCGGCCGAGCCGGTCGAGGTTACTGGTGACTCTGGTACTGCTGCGGGTGCTGATCCTGGGGGTGCTGACTCTGGGGGTGCTGCGCGCGTGGGTACTGAGCCTGGGGGTACTGTGACTGGGGGTACTGAGCCTGAGGGTGCTGAGCCAGGGGGTGCTGAGCCTGGGGGTACTGCGACTGGGGGTGCTGAGCCTGGGGGTGCTAAGCCTCGGGGTGCTACGTCAGGAGCTACTGACCCAGGGGGTGCTGCGTCTGGAGCTGCTGAGCCTTGGGGTACGGAGCCTGCACCTGCTGGACCTCCCCTTGTGGCGTGTGGCGGTGCTGGGCCTGGAGGTTCGTCTAGGCGGGAGCCCCTCTCTCCACAGGAGCTGCGCGAGTGGTTTGCTCGCCGCTGGAGGCGTACTGATGGAGCTGGAGCTTCTTCGCCCGCTGAGGGTGCTGCTGTCGCCGGTCCCGGAGCTGCTGGGCCTTCGGGTCCGCCTGGAGCTGGAGCTGCTGAGGGTGTTGGTGCTGAGACTGCTGCTGTCCTTCCGGGCGGTGGTCCTGCTGCGGGTGCTGCTGGTGCTGCTGGAGGTCCTGCAGTTGGAGGTGCTGTTGGCGCTGGTGCTGCCAGAGGTGCTGAGGATGCTGGTGCTGTCCCTGCTGTGTCTGGAGTCGCCGCGCGGCCTCGGCCGTACTTTTTTCCGCTCCTTCAGCAGGTTCTTGGTCTTCCTCCTTCCTTAGAGTGTCCACCGCCTATCCAGTCACAGTCACGGTTACCGCCGGCCTCTCCACTGCCTGCTCCTTCTCCCTACACTGGTCCTACTGGAGGTCTTGCTGAGCGTCGTTAGCCTGCGTCTCGTCCTCCGTCGCCTGTTTGTGCTGCTCGCGCTAGTGGTCGCGGTTCGCGTCAGCGTCCTCCCCCTGTCCCTGGCACGCACCGGATGTCTCTGCGTCCGTCCACTGCTCCTCTGCGTGCCCCTTTGCCTTCTCCTCCTGAGTCCTCTCTTCCTGCACTGGCCGACCTGGAGTCGGACTCTCTTCATGCTGCCAGTCCTACTGTCACGCGTCTCCTTGCTACTGTCGTCACTGACCATTCTTTTGAGTCCAATGCTGCGTCTGCTCTTGTTGCTGAGCTCGTCGACTTTGTTGCTCGCTGTCGTCTAGACTACGCTGCTAGTCTTGTTGCTGAGTCTGCGGCTGTCTGTCCTCCGTCCGTCGGGGGTGAGTGTGCTCTTGGCACGGACGTCCTTGAGGACAGGCAGGAGGAGTTCTAGTGTCTGGCTGCTGCTTCACCTCATCTCGCGTCCGTACTGCTTGCCCCTGAGGGAGACCCGGATGCACTAGACATCCCGACTCCGCGCTCTTACGTGGAGGCCGTAGAGGGTCCCTACTCCTCTCAATGGCAGGCAGCTATGGATGTAGAGATGGCTTCCTGGAAGTCCACAGGCACCTATGTTGACGCGGTTCCACCTCCTGGGGCGAACATCGTCAGTGGCATGTGGATCTTCAGGGTGAAGCGGCCACCGGGCTCTCCACCTGTCTTCAAGGCGCGGTATGTCGCTCATGGCTTCAGTCAGCGGCAGGGAGTTGACTACTTTCAGACCTTCTCTCCCACCCCAAATATGGCCACTCTTCGGGTGCTGCTGCACATAGCCGCCCAGCGCGACTATGAGCTTCACTCTCTTGACTTCAGCATTGCTTTCTCGCAGGGTAGCCTGCACGAGGAGATCTGGCTGCGCCGTCCACCTGGCTTCACTGGGACTTTCCCTCCTGGCACCCAGTGGAGCCTCCGACGGCCAGTCTACGGTCTCCGCCAGGCACCGCATGAGTGGCACGACACACTGAGGACTACGCTTGCGGCTCTTGGGTTTGCTCCCTCTACTGCTGGCCCGTCGTTGTTTCTGCGCACTAACACCTCTCTGCTGCCGTTCTACATCCTCGTGTACGTCGACGACTTGGTCTTTGCCACAGCTGACACTGCTGGACTCGCCTACGTGAAGTCCGAGCTGCAGAAGAGACACACGTGCACAGACCTCGGTGAGCTGCGTATCTACCTTGGCTTGCAGATCACCCGGGACAGAGCACGCCGCACCATTACCTTGACTAAGTCACACATGGTGCAGCAGGTCCTTCAGCGCTTCGGCTTCACGTACTCCTCGCCTCAGGCCACTCCTCTGTCTACTCGCCACTCGCTCTCAGCTCTGCCTTCGGATGAGTCCGTAGAGTCGAGTGGCCCGTACCCAGAGCTTGTTGGCTGCCTCATGTACGTGATGACCTGCTCACAACCTGACCTTGCATACCCTCTTAGCATTCTTGCACGCTATGTTGCTCCTGGGAGACACCGACCAGAGCACATGGCTGCATCGAAGAGGGTGTTGCGCTACTTGTGCAGTACGTCGGGCATGGGGCTAGTGCTTGGAGGACGGAGTCCAGTGGTCCTCACTGGGCACGCGGACGCTTCATGGGCTGACGACCAGGCTACTCAGCGGTCGTCCCAGGGTTACGCCTTCAGTCTTGGTTCCGGCTCTCTTTCGTGGCGGGCTACTCGCTCGTCTTCCGTTCTCGGCTCCAGTTGTGAGGCTGAGATCTACGCCGGGGCCATGGCTACACAGGAGCTTCGCTGGCTCACCTACCTGCTGACCGACCTTGGAGAGTTGCCTTGTTCCCCTCCAGTGCTGTACGTAGACAACAAGGCCATGCTGGCCTTGTGTCGGGAGCAGCGCCTGGAGCACAGAACGAAGCACATTGCTCTCCGTTACTTTCTTGCTCGTGAGCTGCAGCAGCGTGGTCAGTTGCGACTTGCGTACGTGGCCTCTGAGGCCAACACTGCTGATGTTTTCACCAAGGCTCTTCCGCCTTGTGATCATCAGCGCTTCTGCACTCAGCTGGGACTTGTACCTGTCTTGCCTCACTTGCTCACCTCTTGACCTTGCTTGTACTCTTATATATATATACCTGCTCTTGCTTGTTTAGCCTTATATATCTATGTGTACTCCTGCATGTGAACTGGCCTTCTGGCCTTGACCTTGTGCTCGGAATGTGTGGTGACGTTGTGATCCGCCCTGAGCTTTGCTTTGCTTTGCTTGACTGGTCTTGTGACCCTTTGTTCTCCCCCACTTTGCCTATGGGGGTGTGTCAATTTATAATATTGTGTAGGCTATAGTGGGGTAGCCTATATGGGGTACACATTTCTAGGGTTGCATATTTGTATCACTTCATTCCTTAGTCAATCCATTCTCGTTCTCTTCTTCACAGCTCCGCCTTACTCAAAACTGCCGGAATACGCGACTACCAGCGAAAACTGGGCTGCCTCCTCTTCGCAGCCGTCACGTGCCGCCCAGACCTGTCCTACTCCGCAAGTCAACTCGCTACCTATCTCAAGAGGCCCGAAACAGAACACCTGGCGGAACTCGACCGTGCTTTTCACTATTTCGTGAGCACGGCAACGATCGGCCTGACGTACTACAAAAACACGACTACGCCGACGAAACTAATCGGCTACGTCGATGCCGATCACGCCGGCGACTCAGATAACAGGCGTTCCCGCACTGGCTACATCTACCGCCTCGAACCTATCGGACCTATCTCCTGGCAATCGAGCAAGCAGGAACTAATTGCTCTCTCTTCAGCTAAAGCAGAATATATCGCCCTCTGCTCAGCCACCAAGGAAGGACTCTACCTTCGCGAGCTGCTGGAAGAAGCGAAGTTAGCCGAGTTACCCAACTTCACTTTGTTCTGCGACAACCAATCTGCAATTCGCATCGCCAACAAGAGCGGATTCGCGAACAGAACGAAGCATATCGCCCTGCGATACTTCTTTGTGAAAGACGAAATCGAGAAAGGGAAACTCGACCTATCCTACTGTCCAACGTCCGAGATGGCAGCTGACTACTTGACCAAGAAGCTTGGAAAACAGAAGTTCGAGTACTGCATGCTGCTGACTGGACAAAGCCACGTCACCATCAGCGACACTCCAGAAGCGAAGGGGAGTGTTGGGAACAAATAGTTTAAGCGCCTCTGTTGTGTCGAAAGTCAGACACAAGTGAAGCAGGTCAAATCGAAGCATCGCGAGTCAACCCTCACAGGTTAACGTAACCGTTGGAGGTTACGAGAAAGTCAAAGGTCAGCGACCTTTGACCTGACGCAGCGCGACAGCAAGGACACACAACTGACTCGACATTGAACAGTTGCCCGAGTCGCACTGTATCGAACCGCAACAGTAAAGTAGTTATAATGTCTCTTCATATTCTCTGTACTCATATATTTATATTCATGTATCCTTTTGCCTTAATCAACTTACTTTGCCCTCACATACTAACGCAAGGTGGTTCAAGGACTTGATTCAACGCTTCCGCTATTATATCATTTACTCAAGACTTTAACTCTACAAAGATCTGTCAGAGTATTATAACTGATGCATGTTTGTAGGCTATAGTGGGGTAGCACATATGGGGTAGCACTCCTGACGGCCCCGCCGTCCCCTCCTGACGGCTCCTGCCGTCCCCTTCTACCGGCCCCGCAACTGCACCGCCTGGCCCCGCCGCTGCACCTACCGGCCCCCACCACCCCCCCCCCCCCTTTTCCCGTCGCCTGTCGAGGCGACCTGAGGGGGCCGCTTGCGGAGGGGTGGCAGGTGTGTGGCCTCCCCTGCTTCTCCTCCTCCTTCATCTCCCGCTGCAGCAGCCGAGCCGCTCACCTGCAGCAGCCGAGCCGCCCCACCGCCGAGCCGCCCTGCACCCGAGCCGCCCAGCAGCCGAGCCGCCCTGCCGCCGAGCTGCCGGGTCGCTGAGCTGCTGAGCTGCAGTTGCTGCCGAGCCGCCCTGCCGCCGAGCCGCCGAGTCGCCGAGCTGCTGAGCTGCAGTTGCTGCTGGGCCGCCTTGCCGCCGAGCCGCCCGCGTCGCCCGAGCCGCAGAGCCGCCGAGCTGCCGAGCCGCTGAGTCGCCGAGCCTACTCTTCCCACCACTGGTGAGCTCTTGCCCTGCTAGCACACTGCGCGTCGCCTGCTTGCCTGCCTGCCTGCCTTTTGGCTTACCTGGCTGCCTGCCTTCCTGCTGCTAGTCCTGCTCCTGCTTCTACTTGCGGAGCCAGATGCAGCCCCAGCGACGCCTGCGTGAGTCCCTCATGCCCCAGCAGCTGCGTGAGTGGTACGCTGGTTGGGGCTGTAGGGGTGGCGGCACTACTCCTACTACCACTCCTGCTGCTTCTACTCGTGGTGGCGGCCAGATGCAGCTCCCGCGACCCTCTCGCGTGTCTCTCACGCCTTGCCAGCTTCGTGAGTGGTACGCTCAGAGTGGAGGGTCTCTCAGTGCTGTTCGCTGCTCTTACGTGATTCGCACTGGTACTCGGACTGGTCAGCCTTGTGGGACACCTAGTCATACACAGTCCCGCTGCTTTGCCCGTCTGAGCGACGCCTGGCGTACCGTGTTTGGCGACGAGGCTGAGCTTCCCGACTGGGTGGAGTTGCTTAGGCAGAGGGTAGATATATTTGCTCTTGACTATGATGCTATTCTCACTGCCATGTATGCATTGCCTACTAGTGCTGACCGTGCCGGTCACCTGTGCGTCCCGCCTGACCCAGGTATAGGACCTGCTGCTCTAGCTACTGGTGAGGCTGCTGCTCTGGGTGCTAGTGAGTCTCCTGCTCCAGGTACAGGTGCGGCTGCTGCTCTAGGTGCTAGTGAGTCTGCTTCCTCAGGTGCGGGTGAGGCTGCGCTCTCAGGTACCGCGTTGGCTTCGGCCTCCCTCACCTTTACACTTGACTCTGGGGCTTCTCGCTCCTTCTTTCGGGACCGCACCACACTCACGCCGCTTGGTCGGCCGGTTGCAGTCTCCCTGGCTGACCCCTCTGGGGGTCCTGTCCTCGCTCACTTTTCCACTGTCCTCCCGTGTCCGGCTGCCCCCTCGGGCACCCTGTCTGGCCTGTACCTCCCCTCGTTCTCGACGAACTTGGTGAGTGGTGCAGACCTACAGGATGCGGGGGTTCACCAGTTCACTCCTGCGAGTCAGCGGGTGACCCACTGCACGGACGCACGCACAGGCCGGCACCTGGCCACGTTCTCGCGTCGGCCGGGGTCGAGCCTCTACACCCTGACCACTGAGTCTCCTCCTGTCCCCGCGTCCGGTCAGGTAGCAGCGTCGGGTCAGGTGTTTGCTGCTGCGTCCAGGTCTGGTCCTGAGTCTGCCCCCTGTTCGTGTCGCCTCCTGTCTCACGAGACTCTCCTGTGGCACCACCGTCTAGGCCACCCCTCCTTGCCCCGTCTTCGGGGCATGGCTTCCCGTGTCCTTGTCTCTGGTCTTCCCCAGTCTCTCCCTCCCCTTCCTTCGGGACCAGGACCTTCCTGTGTCCCCTGTGTCGAGGGGCGCCTCAGGGCTGCTCCTCACTCCTCCCAGTTTCCCCCGACAGAGGCTCCTCTGCAGACGCTTCACATGGACGTGTGGGGCCCGGCCCCCGTACGTGGGCAGGGTCACGAGCGCTACTTCCTGTTGGTGGTTGACGACTACTCGCGTTACACCTCAGTCTTCCCCTTGCGCAGCAAGGGTGCTGTCACTGAGGTGCTGATCGCCTGGATCCGCGAGGCTCGTCTCCAGCTCAGGAGGAGCTTCGGCTCGGACTTTCCTGTTCTGCGTCTGCACTCTGACCGAGGTGGGGAGTTCTCCTCTCGCCTTCTGCGAGACTACTGTCGTGCACAGGGGATCCGCCAGACCTTTACGCTTCCGGACTCTCCACAGCAAAATGGGATTGCTGAGCGCCGCATTGGCATGGTCATGGATGTCGCTCGTACGTCCATGATGCATGCGGCTGCCCCCCATTTTCTGTGGCCGTTTGCGGTTCGATACGCGGCGCATCAGCTCAACCTTCACCCCAGGGTCTCTCGGCCCGCGATGTCCCCAGTGTTACTGTGGACGGGGAAGGTCGGCGATGCGTCTGCGTTCCGTGTGTGGGGATCTCGGGCGTTTGTCCGCAACTTGTCTGCGGACAAGCTGTCCCCCCGTGCTGCTCCCTGTGTCTTCCTTGGCTTCCCCCCTGACGCTCCAGGGTGGCAGTTCTACCACCCCTCCTCTCGTCGTGTTCTGTCCTCCCAGGACGTCACGTTCGACGAGTCAGTCCCCTTCTACCGCCTCTTCCCCTACCGTACTCCTTCCCTCCCCCCCCCACCGGACTTCCTGGTACCAGTTCCCCCCCCGGTAGACCCCCTCCCCCCTCAGGTTCCTGCCCCTTCAGGTGTGTCCCAGGTAGACGCAGTCGAGCCAGTCGAGGTTGCTGCTGAGTCTGGTCCTGCTGCGGGTGCTGAGCCTGGGGGTGCTGCTGCTGGGGGTGCTGAGCCTGGGGGTGCGAGGCCGGGGGGTGCTGAGTCTGGGGGTGCTGGGCCTGGAGGTCCGGAGCCTGCACCTGCTGGACCTGGGGGCTCTCCGGTTCTTCCGTCTCGGCGGGAGCCGCTCTCTCCACAGGAGCTGCGCGAGTCGTTTGCTCGCCGCTGGAGGCGTGCTGCTGGAGCTGGAGCTTCTTCGCCTGCTGAGGGTGCTGGTGCTGCCGGTCCCGGAGCTGCTGGGCCTGCGGGTCCTACTGGAGCTGGAGCTACTGAGTCTGGGGGTGCTGAGTCTGGAGCTGCTTAGCCTGGAGGTGCTGAGTCTGGAGCTGCTGAGCCTGGGGTTTCTCCTGCTGCTGCGTCTCGCCCGGAGCCCCTCTCTCCACAGGAGCTGCGCGAGTGGTTTGCTCGCCGCTGGAGGCGTGCTGCTGGAGCTGGAGCTTCGTCGACCGTCGAGGGTGCTGGTGCTGCCGGTCCCGGAGCTGCTGGGCCTGCGGGTCCTACTGGAGCTGGAGCTGCTGAGGGTGTTGGTGCTGAGACTACTGCTGTCTGTCCTGGCGGTGGTTCTGCTGCTGGTGCTGCTGGAGGTCCTGCCGCTGGAGGTGTTGGTGGCGCTGGTG